AGAGAAATTTCTCCACCTTGAGAAAAATGTAATTATATTTAAATACATCAGTAGCACACTGTTGATTCTGCCCAAGTTCCAGAATTTTCAGGCTAAGGAGCTAAGGTTTTTTTTCCCCCCTATTCAAAACATGTGAGTCTGTCTCTGCATTCAGGAATGGCAGCAAGAATGTGTCAGAAGGTTTCCCACGTGTACGGATGGAAACGGATGGAATGTCTTCAGGCTGACCTGTCAGCATGCCCATCGCACGCTGCCCCACCCCCTCCAGGTCATTTCAGGCGGGGCTGAATGGATGGCACATGCCCTCCGGCCTCCTGTTGGGCTTGGAGATAAGAAGGGGTGGCAGTTGGGTGAGGTCAGGGTGTTTATTCTCCTGCATCTCCCTTTTTGGGTCGCCCGGGGCTAACCATGCCCCTACTCTGGGTCTCTGTTCCTCCCAAAGTGTCCCTCTCTACACGGCTCTCCTTCCAGGGCTGAATGTCCCTTTATTCCCTAGAGCTCGGGATGATAACAGCTCTGTTGTCACTGGCTCAAGTTACACCCCCATCCCTCTCGATTTACCTTTAAAATAGCCCCCGCCCACAACTGTCCTCATTTGAGTGTACTCTCTGTTTCTTATTGAGATGTTGTTACACATAGCAAGCATTGTCAATACCATTTTTCAAGTGTTTGCTCAATGTCATAGAAATCTCCAAATGCTCCCCAGCTCTGATCCTGGAAAAGTTGTCCACAGCAACATTAAAATTGGTGACGTAAATGATCGGGTCTATTGCTACAACCAACTATTCAGGAAAAATGACTAATGTTTTATTTCTACAGCATTTCTGTTGATCTTTTATAAAGGTTCCATTTGACGTTGCACAATGTCCACTGCTCGGCTTCCCTGGGTGATATTAATAGAAAATGAGGACTCGCTCTGTGTGTTGTGCTAAACTGAGCACGGTTTAATTCCACTCCTCGTTTGCAGTCTGTGTGATTCTCCCCAGAAAGCAGAGGTGAGTTACATCTTCCTGGATCTTCCATGTCTTGAGCAGACCTGATGCATGATGGATTCTGCATAAATATTTCTCACAGCAGATTTGGGGGAAGGATGGCGTGGGGTGGAAAATGCTCTCCTGCCAAGTAACCTGGCCTGTGTGATCTGAGCCAGAACACAGTGGGTGTGAGAACCACTCAGAACCACACTGCCTGGGGCTTCAATCTCTGCCCCACCTTTTACTAGTCGAGTGGTCTTGGGTAAAATGCCTTACCTCCCTGAGACTCCGTGTTCTCATCTATAAAGTGGGGAGGCAGTGGGTTGATGAGGCTGTTGCAAAGGGTGAAAGTGAAAACCTTAGTGCACTGTTGGCCCACAGTGAGCATTCAGTGTATGCTCTGCTTGCTGAAGCTTCAACCGAGCAAACATGTCCTGAACACCCACTCAGGTGGACCGTCCCATCTACCCAAGGTCATTCCTGTGCATTCACAGCAATGCCTCAGGTATACCTGGGAGATGACTAGGTAGCATTTATTGAACCTATTAGCTCTGATCTTCAGAGCTTTCCTACAGGGTGGGTCTCCCCCGGTCACCCTGAGGAGAGTCCATTTGGAGGTCACAAAGGTTTCCCATATTCTAATCATTCAGGGACTACTTTATCATGTGTGTACCATCGGTACCCCATTTGTTTATTTTTCAATATACTTTATCTTTAAAATTCAACTGAGTTCTAAGAAACATTATGAATAAAATCATGGGAATGATATACTAGGTATTGTTCAGTTATGCATCAAAATAAAAAGCTATTGAAATAATAAAAGTTCATCACGTTGCCACCTAAAATGATCTTTTATACTGGCAGAGGTATACATTGCGTTCATCGGGAAACCGTGTGTGTTCAGAAAGTACTTCTGTGACAGGGAGGAGAAAAGAGTCTGTGAGAGCACGTAAGGAAAGCAAAGTGGGAGGGGGCGAGTTCTCTCTTGTGAGGATTTGGAGACCTGGCTACATCTGTCCCCCGAAAGGACACAGGTGATGGAAAACATGAGAAAGAACGAGGAGGAGAATGTGGTTACCAAAGAGCAAGGCCATGGAGGGTCACCAGAATACAGAATTCAAAATACAGGGATTAAAAAAAGGAAGAGGCGACTTCCTTCCTGAGAGATCTGAGAGGCCAGAGATACTGGAATTTGGGGAAATAGAGGCAGAAGAAATGCAAGCTTGTGGGCATCATCCCAGATGGGCATGACTGTGTTCTCAAAGTGGGGGGGGGGGGACCAGCGGCAGAGCCGGGCAGAGAGACAGACCAACCAGGCGGCTGCGTGCGTGCAGTCACTTCACTTAGACTTTGGCTTCACATTAGGTGACACACATGTGTGGCAGGCTCACTGCTTCTGGAGGAAGGACACTGGTGTCAGTCAAGGGAAGTGCCCACAGACAAGTGGTCTGTGGATGGATGGGACAGGTATCAAGACTAGAAGTTACTTGGGAAGGGAGGAGTCTGGTCTGGGCCTAAATGCCATATTTTAGCATCAAGAATGATGGAAGAAGGCACTCTTGGTGGGGAGTTACAGTGCATTAGGAAATGAGCCCATTTTCCAATATTTTTTTAAAGATTGATTATAATCGTTTTTTAATGTTTATTTATTTTTGAGAGTGAGGGAGAGGCAGGGAGAGAGGGAGACATAAGAGAGAGGGAAACGCAGAATCAGAGGCAGGCTCCAGGCTCTGAGCTGCCAGCACAGAGTCTGATGCGGGGCTTGAACTCACAAACCGTGAGATCATGACCTGAGCTGAAGTCGCATGCATAACCCATTGAACCACCAAGGCGCCCCCATTTTCCAATGTTTAAGAAAACAATGGTGAAAAATCCAATGATGACTCAGAAATGGAAGATGCTCCTAGAATGAAAGACATATCCTAAGCTGTGACTTTTAACAAGTGGTCATATTATTTCCCTAACTAATATGCAGGAACGATGAAATCGAATGGGGATTTGGGGCAATGCTGCATGAGTATGTGATGTGTCAGTTTAATATACGTCTTATATACATACGCGTACTTGCAGAATTATGAAGGCATAGGAAACAGGGGGTGAGCATTGGACTCATGCACCATTAGAACTGCGTTAGGACATTACTCATTTAACCTACAAAACAAGGATAGTAGCATCTATGCTCAAAGAAGACTTTGAGCAAGTCTGCAGCATACAGGATCAACATACTTACATATGGAATCTAAAAAAGCTGAAATCAAGCAGACAGAGCAGAGAACGGTGGATACCAGGAGCTGGTGGGTGGGGGAGGGGGAGAGGTAGCGGTCTAAGGTAAAGGTACACACTTGTAGTTAGAAGGTGAGTAAGTTCTGGAGGTCTGATGACAGCCTAGCGATGATGGTCAACAGCACGGTCTTGCAGACTTCAAAGTTGCTGAGAGACTAGATCTTCATTGCTCCCACCACAGAAAAGAAAGGATAATTATGAGATGTGATAGAGGTGCCTGCTAACAGTACAACGGTAATCATACTGCAGCCTAAAAATGCTCAAGTCATCACAGTGTACATCTTAAACCTATAGAATGTTGTATGTTAAACTTACAGAATTACTGACTAGTAATAACCCAACGTCCACCAACTTATGAATAGATACATAAAATACAGTAAATAATGTAAAGATGTAAATACAATAATAACGCATATAATGGAATATTTGGCAATAAAGAGATATGCGGTGATAAATGCCACAACGTAGCATAACCTTTAAAGCATTGTGCTAAGGGAAAGATGCCGTAAAAACACACGTGGTGTAGGGTTCCATTTATGTGAACTGTCCAGAGCAGGCAAATCCACAGGACGGACAGTAGGCTGGTGGTTGTCTAGGGCTGGGAGAGTTTGGAGAGGAATGAGAAGTGAAGGGTAATGAACACAGGGTTTCTTCTGAGGGGTGATGAAAAGATTCCAAAGTTCACTGTAGTGATCGCTGCACAACTTTATGGATGCAGCACAGAACACTGAAGTGCCTGTTCTAAATGGATGAGTTGTACAGCAGGTGAAGGATATTGTGATAAAGCCGTCATATATTAAAAAAGACAAGAAAAAGACTAAGGATTAAGCATTCTGTTGGCCGAATGTGTGCTAAGTGTTGGCAAATGCACATTAGGTGAAGGGACATTTGTCTGTCTTCTTGATTATGCCCATGTGCTGAGCACTCCCCAGAGGGCCGTGCTGTTGCTGCTTCTATTCCACAATTCAGACATCCCGGGGATGCGGGAGGGGAAAAAGATCGGCTGGGAGAGGGTATGCTCCCAAACAAGGAGCTATCGGGACACACACATTCCAAACACACCTTGCAGGAGAGTGTGTAGGGACGCCTGGAGAAGAAGCATGATGCTGAGCCCGGTGACCGCTGGGCTACTAACCTCATTTGCCTAACTTCATTAGTGAGAGAGGCTTATCCCAATTGTGCGAATGATGTTTTTTTAAGTGTCCTGTCATCAAATTCAGCACCTTGTGCAAGATGTCTGCTCTGGGAGGGTGAGGGGAAAGGTGGCAAGTGCAGTGTCGCTTCTGAAAGCCCAGTGGGCCTGGGGACTTATCCATGGAGCTCCTCAATGCAGTCAGAGTGACCTCCTCAAAGGACAGTTTGCTGTAATTAGTGGTGTCATGTGACTATCAAAGGAAATAACAATTACAGAAGCTTGGTTCAGATGTGTTCTAAACACATCCCATGTGTTGTTTCTGATGCTGTTTTTGTTTAAGAACGATTGTCAGGAATCCCTGAAGAATTCCTGATGTTGCATTTGGAGTTGAACTCTGGATAGTTGTTAAAACGGTTTGCAAGCTTGTGTGTTTCTCTTTCATTCTGTCATTTGGTTGGCCATTTTCGTTTTTGTTCTTGGGAAGGGCAGCTGTGCTCAGGGCTGGCATGTAAGTGAACATAAACCAGATGCTGTGCTTTCCTCTTTCTGCTGTAACAAATTATGACCTCACAGTGACCGCAGGACTGTGGGTCCGAAGTCTGGGCACAGTGAGACTCACCGGGTCTCAGAAGGCTGAAATCAAGGTTGTAAGCAGGTATGTAGTCTCTACCATAGGCTCTGGGGAAAATACCTTCCAAGCTTGGTCAGGGTGTCAGCAGAATGAATTTCCTTCTCATGCTTTCCATGTAGCCCCACCCCATCCTCAAGCCAATGACAGCCAGAGTCCCTCTCAGGCTTCAGAACTGTATAACCAACCATGACCTTCTCTCCACCTTCTATCTTCTGGTGCTTCTATTACTTGCTCTCCTGCCTGGCTCTTCCACTTTAAAGGGCTCCGGTCATTACTTGGATCTGGCTGGAGAATTCGGGAGAGTCTTCCTATTTTAATGTCAGTTGATAAATAACTTTACAGTAAACCTTGGATTGCGAGGTTACTCAGTAACCTGTTCTGCAAGTGTTCCACAAAACGAGCAAACATTTCTAATATATTTAACTTGATAAATGAGTGATGTCTTATAATATGAACAGTCTATGATACCAAATGTCACACGATCACAACTGAGCCAATGGTTCTTGAAATTTGCTTTGAATTTGGAACAAATTACACTTGCAAACCAAGTGTTTACTATATTTACATTGGCAGAATCTCTTGCTGTGTAAGGCAACAGAATTGCAGGAGTAAGACCAGAGGATGGAGGTCATGGGGTCAAGGTCAAGATTCTGCCTATGACATTCTGATGGTTCCTTTTGGGTGTCAATTTGACTGGGCCAGGAGGTGCCCAGACATTTGGTCAAGTATTGTTCTGGGTGTGTCTGTTAGGGTATTTCTGGGTGAGATTAACATTTGAATCAATGGATGGAGTAAAGGAGAATGCCCTCCCCAAAGTCTTTGGGCCTCAACCAATCACTTGAACACCTGAATAGAACAGAAAAGCTGAGCCAAAAGGAACTCCCCCTGCCTGACTACTCTGAGCTGGGACACTGTTTTTTTCCCACCTTCAAATTCAAACTGAAATATCACTCTTGTTAGATCTCGAGGCTCCTGGCTTTCGGATAGAGTTATGGCATCAGCTCTCCTGGGTCTCCAGCGTGGTGACAGCAGACCCTGGGGCTTTTCAGTCTCCATAACTGTGGGGGCCAACTTCGTGTTAGCTATAGATGTAGACCTATACCACTGATTCTGTGCCTCCGGAGAACCCTAATACAAATGTCTACGAAAGAAAGTCCAAAACTAACACCCAACTTTCACGGGTCAAGTTAACTGTAGTTCTGGCTCCATTTTTCCTCTGGCCCAGTGGTAAAAGCCATCATGGATTTAAAGTCACGCTTTCTGTCTTGCATAGCAATTTTCACTTAGACGCTCTATTTTACACTGATGCATTCTCATGGTGTAAGGAAGATATGGAGGGGAAGTTGTGAGATCCCAGTAAGGTCCCTGTCCACTATGTTCTAGGTCTTTATCTGTAAATGAGAATTCTTTTATCTGTTTTTGGGGTTAATGCAAGGCTGAAATGAGGTGATATGTATATGAAACCCTCAGCTCTGTATCCTGCATGTGATAGTTACAATGAAGCTGGGCACCTACCAGTAATAGGAGAGTGAGGCAGAGACTACCTGGAAGGTGAAAACACAGCAATGGTTCTAACCAACAGTTCCCAGTAAGAGACGCAGGTAGAAAATCTGTCATTTTTCATGCAGACATACCATGTCCACCTTCAGCCTTCTGGGTGCTCATTTCCTACCAAGGCCCTGGTCAAAGGGTTGATCTTCGTGAGAACAGGGGAAATCCCCAAACAAAGGAAAGTCCCAACACCCTTGGCTTATCACTTATGGAACATTTAAATTCCTTCAGCAAGGTTTTTATTCTTTGAGTACTGGTGGGCTTTGTGGAGGAGACCAGCTGAATCTGGGTGGATGCCGGCAGAAGGAGGCAGTCAAGAAGTATCCATGATGGGGTCCCTATCCCCAATTTACTCACGAGTCCCCTCCCTCCATTGCTGGTCTTGATGTTCCCAAGGTCAAAAGTCTACCTGACACTCTCCAACCTTCTTTGACATTTACTGTCTTATTCTCAGACAATCTTATATTCAACCTGGAGCTCTAACTGCTGTGAGATGGGGAGCATACCTGCTCAGGTATCTCATGATGCATCAGTTCACTGGCTAAAAGCTACCTTTCCAATCTATCTACCATATCCTGGATGCCAGGCTCACAGAACAGCCTTCCCGGAACAGACTCCAGGGCCGCCGCCTCTTGGAGACTGACAAGGCCATTTGCATCTTCAAGTCTCTGAGAACTTGCAGTCAAGAAACCAGCTTGATTTTGTTCCTTTCCTTTATTTAGCCAAGAAACCCTTTCAGTGATGCCTGCCCCCCCAACTCTCAAACTTATAATAAAATCATGGAAAATGCCGGTTTCTCCTGCATTTTAACCTTTTAAAAGTTGGGTGAATCTCTTACCCTTTGGGGACTACGTGGGGACCAGTCACGGCTAATCCCAGATCTATTCCCAATTCTCACCTCCCTAGCCCACCATGTTCATGAACACACATGTGCACATACACATAGGGAAATACTGGTTTATACATGGCTTTTCTTGCAGCCAGCAGTGATCATAGGCTTACCAGAGTTCTGCTCTGGGGGGTTGTTAAGAAAATATATTGTGGTAAAGACTTTGCATCCCTAATGAAAAGGGATAGACATGTCTCTTGCCCCCTCTTTCTTCCTCTAGATACAGCTGTGATTTTAGAGTGCTGACAAGTCTCATAGCCACAAGAGAAAGTCCAAAGATGCATACAGATGCTGATTGTCAGATCAGTGAAGCAAAAGAAGCAGCCCCCTACTTCTCAGTTTCTGGAAATATGAGAAAAATCAACCTGAGATGTTTAAGCCACATTGCTATTTTGTTACCTGCAGCAGAAAGCATTCTTCGTTGATATACTGAGATGAATTTAATCCTTAGATCCCTGGTTACAGTTTTTCTAATTCTAGACATTCTTCTTTCAGGTGTGGTGCTTGCCCTTTTGTAATAGAACTTGACCTTACCCCTTTACTTGTAATTAGGACCAGGCACAGCCGGGCTGTCTCATGCTATAAGGCATCATCCCCACGGACAGCCTTGACCTAGACTTGCTCCTCAGACTGAAAACTCTCATGCTGAAGCCACACTGCACATTTTATTGCTTGCCTGTTATATCTCCCGTAAGCAATAAAATAAACATTTCGAATTTAGATGCAAAGCCTTGGCTAGGAAAGAGCCCTGAATGCTTATATCAGAGGCCACTGAATCGGGGTAAATAAGTCTCTCTGTGGAGGATGAGCAGGAAAACTAAGAAGTAATTAACCTATACCAAGACAAAGAAAATGCAGCCTCTCGAGCACTGAGTGTTATGTAGAAACTAATTTGACAATAAACTATTTGTAAAAAAAAAAAAAAAAAAGAAAATGCAGCCTCTTTAGAGGAAGATGAGCTTTGAGGACAGACAGATCCAGACTCCCAGTTTCTCCTCTGATTATCTGTTGTCAACCTCTCTGAGCTTATGCTTCCTCTTCTGAAACCCGTAGATGGTGATAATCAGCATCACTGGGAGGAAGAAATAGGAAGATGCATCTGGAAGGACCCATTCAGATGTCTGTCACCTACGAGGCAAGCTGGGATGGCTCACTGGAGGAGCAGAGATGGCTGCTTGAAGTGACGCCTAACAGCCCAGGTCAAGGGTAAAGGATCAAGGATGACTGAGTGTCTTTGACTCCCAAACCTTGCTGAAATAAGTCAGAAAGACCCTACGATGGTTATTTTTGAAGGCTGTCTTTCATTATAGCTCATACGCCAAACAGTGATGCTGCCATAATGGAAATATACTCAGGCTGACGAAAGTAAAGTTCTCAGATATACTTTATGAATATACGGATACCCGTGAAAATTTATGAGGGAGTATCTAACTTGAACCTTTGATAGGTTTCCAGAAACTTGACAAAATAGTGCAAATTGGATTTTTTCCCCCAAAAAGACATTTTTGGGATACCTGGTCAGCAAACTCCTTAGAAAACACCTTACATAATTCTTTTACTTGATCAGTTGGAAACTTTATGGAGATTCCTTAGAGTGACAAACACTCTAATGGATGAGAAGGAGGTGTGCTGTAATACAACTCACTCAACACAGAGAGGGTCCATTTCTTGAGGGGGCCACCATATAATGGCCTCGCTGCCAAGAACTTCCATATATTATCTCATTTAATTCTTGTAAGTAGAGCTCAGGTATACTTTATGTAAGGGCCACATTCTTGACTATCTCAAATAATTGAAAATGTGCATAATCCAAGAGTACTCTTGACAAAGAATGGGCTCTGTCTTCATCTTTACCAGCTAAAGCAGCACCAAGGGTGGTAAAAGCAGATTTAAGAATTGAGTCCTGTCTTTGGCAACAAAAAGGAACGAAGTACTGATACGTGCTACATTCAACCCAGCATCGTTGGAAACATGGCACCCTGGGAAGGAAACCAGAAGCAACATACCACCTACTGTGTGATCCCATTTATATGAAATGCCCAGAATGGGTGAACCAGTAAGGCCAACAAGTAGATCTGTGGTCTCCTGGGGTAGGGAGTTTGGGGAGGAAATGGGATATAATTTCTGATAAATACAGGGCTTCCTTTGGGGAGCAGAGAAATGTTTCTAGACGTGTGTCCAAATGAGAGTTTAAAAATATTTCCATAGTGCATCATTTCAAATTTGCCTAATTCAATCTCCTACGAAATGCTATCACCAATGCAAAATGAGGAAAGAGATGCTCAAATTCGCACAGCTGATAAGAGGAAGGGACAGGATTGGGAGCCCAGCTTTCCTGGTTGGCAGACTTCTTCCTTCCCTTGCAAGATGCTAGGTAGCGGCACTACGCCCTACCATTTGGGGGGGTGGGGAAGTGTTCGGCTGCTGCTAATGTTTACGGCACACGTAGTGTTTATTTTATTTGGTGTGGCACTCCAGGCCTGATATCTGCTACCCTTTGAGGATCCCCTTTTGCAGAAGAGTTATCCAAAGCTCAGAGATGTAATTGGCAGTGGAAACATAACTGAAAACCAGACCTTTTGGACACGGAAGCCAGTGGTCTCGACCCCTGTGCTGCACTCCTGTTAGAACATATTGATCTTCCTGATGAAGTGACGGGCACATCCTCACGATGCATTGCTGGTTGACTCACTGACAAGCTCCCAAATTAATATTCTGTGAAAACCTGCTAGAGCCCTCGTAACATTCCCTGTACCTTTCCCTTTCCTCCCTCGTCCCTGAGATGTGGACACTGATGTAAATGGCAGCCACGTGGCACGCATTACTGGAGCATTTTCGGACAATCGGGGCTGGACTCTGCTCTGAAACGCCTGCGAGAAGAGACAATGAAATCCGCTATGCTGAGGAAGTCTCCATCATGGGGCACTGGGTGTGTTTTTAATCTAATAAGAAATACCTAATGGCAGAGACCTCAGAACGCTTTCTGGAAAGAACTCGAAGATAACGGAGGAGACAAAGACTACTTTTGTTCCAATAAAGGCTCAATTTTCTGATTACCATACAGAGAGGCAGGTGGCATGAAACACAGAGAGAAGACTAAGAGTGTTTGAGTGTCTTGGGTGGAACAGAACAGCAGTTGCAAAGCAGGACTTGGAGTCAAATTGTCTCAAATTCTTACTGGTCGAGTGACACAGGATACGCCAGCTGGTATTAGATTTGGTGACGGGCACAGAGGAGCTAACGTAACAGTGAGCTCAATGAGACAGAAGCTCATCACTGTCTCATGTAAAATAATTCCGGAGAGGGGCAGTCCAGGGTGTAACATTTGCGGGCAACAGAATCCTGTCCTTTCTGTCTCCCACCACCTTCTTAGGACATGGTTTCCATCCTCCAAGCCACCTTATGAAGCACAGCACCTGCCTGAGGTCTAGCTGCCGTGGCCTCCTTCCAGCCAGGACAAAAGGGCAATCTTCCCAGCTCCTGTGGCTCCCAACCCACCCTGGGCACGTAACAAAATGCCATGCTTGTAGCTCGCTAGCTGGTACTCCATCACATGGCCACACCTAGCCCCAGTATGGTTTCTGTGTGGGCACGCTGCTGCTGTCGTACATTGGGGTCCATTACTAGTGGAGAGAAGAATGGGTATTGAGGGAGGGGTCTCCGCTCTCCCAGAAAAATTGTTTCCTAGACTCTCTAAGCTTCAGTGTCCTCCCTGGAAACATGGAGATGATCACATGTCCGCTGATAGGACCCTGTGGTGAGTCAGGGAGACAACACACAGGAATCCCTTGGCAGAGGGCCTCGCCCCAGCTCCCACTCAGCAGTGCTCACCTCTACATGCTACCGGACCAGCCCTGGAGGAGCAGGCTCCGGCCTGAGCTCACAGTAAGCTGCACCACAACTTGCCAATGCCCGTACTCCTCCAGACTCCGGATGTGCAATTCACAACCGGAACTCTTCACTGTCTCCTCTAGGGCAGGTTTCCTTCACCTTGGCGGTACTGACATCTTGAGCCAAAGAATCCATCGTTGTGGGGGCTTGTCCCGTGCGTTATGCTCAGCAGCATCCTTGGCCTCTACCCACTAGAGGCCAGCGGCACTCTCCCCTCCTCCAGTACGGCGACCCAAAGTGTCAGGGGCTGGGAAGAAGGCAAGTCATCTGCAGGTGGGTCACTGCTCTGTGAATCCACATGATCTGTTTCTTTGACAGCAACAGCCTAGGTCTCTTGGATGATCTGTTTTAAGTGCATGGGTCAACATTTCAAGTTAAAACATGTCAAATGCACTTTCCCAAACTAGTGGAAATCCAGCCAGCCATTCTTGAATGAGGCATCACACACAGGAAGCACCTAGTCAATTTAATTTCCTGTATCTAAGCTACTGTGTAAGTCCTCGCCTCTAACCCTGGATGAGGACCTCGGGGTGAGCTGACAGCGCAGAAGCTCCGTAGCAGGAAGAGGGGGTGAGATCGCAGAAGTGGGAAGAAAAGCAGAGGGGCAGATGGCGAGCAGCTCACTAAGTCTGGCTTTGATGGCCCAGGGAACAGGCCCTCCGTCAGTCTGAAAAGAGACCTTCCTCAAAGACATAGAGGCCAACCACACACACGCGAGCCCCTGCCCTCTCCTCCCCACCAAGACGGTCTCTGGGTTAGCAGCCCCTTCTGACCAGAAACACAGGATACAAACTGTGACGCACTGAACCCAAGCAGAAATCCGGAACAAGAAGAAAACATTGAAAATCCCCTGAACCAAACTCGTGAGCAATCTTTGAAAAGAGCCAGTCTTCTGAATAATAAAATAGATTTGGGTACCATGCTTGGCTTGGGGGAAAAAAATGCAGCCATAATTACAGCGAGAAAGCTGTGAGTCTATTAAAATTTTTTTCTTTGATACTGGGAAACT